TACTGTGGCTCTTTTTGAGCAAAAGAAAATCTAGAAAACAAGAATCACGCGTTATCTGATCTCTTTACTCTCCAGTCATCACAGAAAATAAAGATGAGACGATTATTCGCTTAAACATTTTTTAAATCTCCTGATGCAGTTCTAATGAGTTTAAATACAATAGATCTTGATGAAATAAACTCTAAGCGTCACGCCATTCCAAGTTCAATTTGTGAACTTTAGGAAGCAGGCTGAAGGAAAATTGTCCTAGTTTCAGCTTAGGCTTTCTTATAGTGAAAACTGAACGCAAAGCTAGAAATAAACAGAAGCACCGAAATGGTGCTTCTGTTTATTGGTGCTTCTGTTGGTAACTTTAATATTAGAAAACAAGGTATACAGTTCTGTAAAACAAGAGAACTTCTATGAATAAATTAAATTCCTTAATTCTGCTTTGAAAGTTTATTGAGTTATTTATAATATAAACTTTTCCTTGATCTTTTTAATTAACGAAAACCATGCAATAAAAATATGCATTATAGAAAACAGTTTTCAGGAATGCAAATAAAGAAATTTTACTTAGTATATTGAGACCATGCCATGTCATGTATACTGAGACGTGCTATCTTGACCAAGAAAATTACTAAAGTACAGAAAATCAGTCATTTGGCTACACAGCATTGACAATAAATGCAATATCGAGAATGTAATGCTTTTCTGTTACCGCAAATAGCATTAATAAAGTTGTTTTTGTTGCTTTATGCTAAGGGTGCTTCGTAATGCGTTTTAAAGTTGAATGGTGTAAATGAACAACTTGACTAAGTTGGTGCCCTTTCTAGTAATTCACTTGAGGCAACTGCCTTACTCTTATTCTGGTTTTACTGTTGGCAAACAAGCATGCATTATTTTTTAATAAATCAAACATTATCGAGAGAAAAAAAATTTAAAATTATATTTAATGAGTAATTTTACTTATATAATTGAAATTAAGGGTTTCATCTTACAATCGAAAAAATATAGTTAGTCATATCCTGGCAAATGTAATAAAAGTATACTTTTAAACCTCGTATTGTGGACTGTATTTAAAATTCTTTATGAGTCTATATAAGATTGAAATGGATTATTGAATAATGTTAAAATACATAAGGGATGTTTCTCCGGATAGTACTGCCGTCTGGGAAGATTTTCTAAAGGAATGTTAGCCATATGTATGCTACACGTGAAATAAACCCTCATGCAGCCATCCATTTCAATCACTTAGAAAATTGAAATATATCTTTTTTTTTTGTATGTTTTTGTTGATCTGTTGTCTTGAATTTATTGAAATCATACAAAGAAAAAATATGAATTATAGAATTCAACTTGCATTCAGGCAAAAAAGTAAAAAAATGTTAATTCATGCTATAGAGACATTAGGTATTTTTTTGGAAGATGAAAAATGAGCAACGTCTTCGTCGGGAATCGAACCACAGACCTCTGGAATACGCGCCCATCGTGCAGACCACCACACTACGAAGGCATGCCAAGAAGGCTGGAGAAGTACCTTATGTACTCGCCCTTTTAAAAGGCGACAGGGGGTTTAGGGAATCCAATCGCCAAATCCTGGGTGTAGAGAGCCATCATCCACCACCCTTTTAGTTCGGGCGCCACTGTACATAAAGGCTCAAATCGGAATAGTTTCAATTATAAAAGCCTGCGCGTTGCCTTCTGAAAGTGAAGGATTAGTCATGGAAGTCAATGGTTGAACGAAGGATGGATTTTAGTCTATGGACATGTGAGTTATTTTCTGTAGCATAATTTTCTTGTTTTATTGATTTTATTTTGTTCATTTGAATGCATTTTTATGAGATAATTACGTTTCATAAAGCAAGCAAAGGTACCATGTTTTCATCTTTAATTTTTTTCCGTTATCAGCCAAACGGAAAGAAAATTTTGAAAAGATGCGTACTCAGTTTTCGTCCAAATATATTGGACTTGCTACTTCAAGTTTTGGAAACTGTTTCCTCAGACATGCCAAAGTTTTTTTTTTTTTTTTTTTTTTTTTTTTTTTTTTTTTAGTGAACAGAATTTTGGCGTATTACATTTTGCATCTTACTGGGCGAAATTTGGATAAGCTATGATTTTCAGTACTGTTTACAAAACAGTACTGAAAACGGACGACATGCTAACGACGGACATAAAAGAAATTCACAGCTTTTAAACCAGCTTGTATTCGATTTAAAGCAGGATTTCTTAAACTGTGGGTCGCGACTTGAAGCAGGGGGTCGTCAAGCATTTTAGCAGTTTTGATATTTGACTTTATTTTTTAAATAATTTTACATTTGCCAAATATTTTTACGCTGTGTATCTGAAAATAGATAAAAATAAGGCAATAGAGACAAAGAAAAAAACGAAAACCTTTCGACGCATTCTTTTTATAATATAAACGCTCATTTTCCTTGCTTTGCAGGTGACGCTATCATTTCGTCTGTTATTTATTTAAAATTTTTACATTATTCTATGTCTTAAAATTAGAAATTAAAGTTAATGAATACTATTGCAGTTTTGGGTCCACTAGACCACCGGTGGAGCCACTCAACAAATAGACAGAAATAGATTACTCTAAACTTATTAAGAACATAGCAATGATCATATAAAGAAAGTAGAAGAAGATTGTAAAACAAGTAAGACGAGAATACATGATGTGCATTCAAAATTCTCTAAAAATCAAAGAAACAAAAATAAACAGTCAGTAAATAATAAGGAGTCCGATGACAAATTAAAAATTATTGAAGGTGACTCAGAAAAACCCTGCAAGCTACTCCGCGTAAAAAATTAGAATTATCTAATTATCTACAACTGAGAAGCAGAATAAAGATTTTGTTGACATAGGTAATAATAAAACATAAAGTGCTATTAGAGCTGAGGAAAATTTTGGAAATTCAGAGAATAAATAACATAAAAAGTGTAATTAAGAATTAGTTGTTTAGTGCTGGAAATAAAAATTGTCGACTATATATTCTAGAGAGAGAGTTAAGTACAAAGCAAAACATAAACTCATTGTTACTAAGACGATAAAACATGCTCACGTAAGCAAACTATGAAAAACAGTAATTGTAGAAAAGGCCATAAAAACTGTATATCCCATTCTATAGTTGAATTTTTGTTAATAGATGCAGTCACTCAGAAAGCATATCAAGAACGTTTGCAGAAGGAAGGATAAACAGAAAATTATCAATCAAAACGTTGAAGCGAAATTATGCGGTAAGATCTAGTTTTCTTAGCTATCATAAAATGTGATTATTCTACCTAAGTATGATCCTTGCAAATTTTCGCACAGGCGTGAAGATGAACACAACCAGAGAAGATTGTAAAATACCCTTTTATTGAAAACAAAATATTTAGTAGATGGCACTGACTTGTGTGCTTACAAAATACCGACCACTTGCGGTGAGAACTTAAAAGATAATGTAGCCCTAAATTTAAAGGTAAATAGTAGCGCGAGACTTACATAATTTAATTTGAGCTAACAGGTTGACTCAGAAACATACACAGATAGGATAATAACTTGGCGGCAAGAATGCGTAGCCAAATTAAGGTTAACAGCTGGTAGAATCTAATAACGTACGGTCGCAATAGCAAAACTCCATTCTCTCTATTCTTTTCACTCCAATAGTTTAAATACTCTCGTTCACCCTAACTCATTTACATCCTGGCGAGGAAATGCAAATAAAAGAATTTAGGAAAAGCTCGCAATATAAAATAACTATTAGTAAAAATAAATAGAACCCTATAATGCAATGTGTCCGATAACACTCAATACATGTAATTTTAATGAGAAATTTTGTGCAGATTACGGAGTTAGCATTGTCAAAATACAGGATTTTTTATACAGATTATAGATCTAGCAGCCTAAAACATCAGCTTTCCTAAATCATCCAAGCTTGATGATTTAGGAAATCATATATCAAGATAAACATGACTAATTACAATGAATTTTAAAGTAACTAAGCAACCTAGATCTTGTCCTATGCTTAAATGTTACTATAACTGTTATAAGAATATTTTAGTAATGGTTTTATAACTGTTTAAATGTAAACGGGTGAGTATTTTATCAGGGATTAGTTTCACGATGGATAAATATTTAGTATTAATGCACAAATACGCAAAATTTTAAATAAATCTTTACATGCGAGCAACTAATCAAATTTAAATGTAAAAATATATATGTTTTCCATACAGCAAGCTTGCATATAAATTTTGGATGTGAATATATGTGACAACTATTGCATTATTTCTCGTTATTAAACATTAATGGAAGATGATATGTTGATTATTTCAGAAACTGTTTGAAATGTAGGTTGACTGTATAGGATCACTCCAAATTAAATTTAGGGGAAAAAGGAAATGTGGCAACATAATCCAGGGGTCTCTAGTAAGTATCTAACAGGGAATCGAAAGATGTAACGATAGGAGGGAAAGGGATAATCAGCCTCTGCGCGGATAAGAGAGGATGTAGTTTCGATTTGGTAGCGTAAAGAATGAAAATTAAGCACGCATGGCCTGGCAGTATTGATGGCAAAAGTAATTTCTCCCATCACACGTAAATTAAATATTTGGAGTAGCAATTTATATTAGGATATTCAATGCATTCTGAATTTTTCCCAGAAGTGCTTATTCTTGTGGAAGTCCATTACGTCCATTACCACTGAGTCTGGTAAGTCATTTTTTTCAGTTTCCTAATCAAGTCAGAGCAAAAGAAAGACCACGATAGAGTTTTATGATTTATAAAATAGTTTGATATTGCAGTAATTTCCAGGCTGGGGAGTGTTATCTTACCGAATGGCGTTTTTCTCTAGTATATGTTAGTTCAGAAGATTTTATTTCTTGAAATGTAAAGTATTTCACTAACCGAATGAAGCGCAAATTTTGTGTAATACTTAACTACTTAGTCGATGGAAATTAGGAATCAAAATAGAGCAAAAACAAAATTGTAAATAAACTGCTATTTCTCCCATTTATTTTATGAAAAACGAAATTCAGCATAATTTTCAAAAATGTTTATTTACACTTTAAGTATACATACATATAAAAACACATGGGAATGCCAAATATAGTGACAACAATGACAGAAAAGCAATTATTAAATTTCATACAAAGTATAAATAATGAAAAAGGGAACAGCAGTTCCAGTAGAGAAAGTTAAGCATTTATGGGTGGCAGTATTGCCAATGTCCCCCAAATATGAGAAATTATTCGGCATTGATGTTCTTCTTAAAAATGAAATAAAAAACAATAAATCAGGTAAAGAAATTATCAAAGCTCAGAAAAAAAAATTCTGAGTTATGCAAAGTAAATGTGTGTAACTAAAGCTAGCATACTTATACTAAACATTAAACAGCGAAAGTAAAAATTCACAAATTGAAAAAATTAAGTTTATGTACATGCTAAATGCAAGAAGAATGTAAATATAAAACTAATTAAAGAAATGCGTAATTTAAGCAGTTTATACACTAGTTAAGCAATTCAAATCAGCAAATATACAAATATTTATAAAAACAAATGCGTAAATATACAAATGCAAAATCAATAAATTTACAGGTAAATTCAAACAATATAAGAAGTAAACGAACGAACACACGACTTATAAACTTTTTTTACGATTCTGTATCCAGGTACAACATATGATAGGTTTAAACGACACTTTCTTTCTGAAGATTTGAAGGTTCGCAGATAAAGATTGCAAGGATTGTGTTGCATCATTGTCTGGTATCTTCTCCACATTCTAAACGCTCATAAAAACTATTTTCTAAATTGTCATTCCCATACACATAATTGTTGCTTAAATTGTTCCATAGTCAAACATTGTTGAAAAATGTATATATTTGGAGTTCTTTCTTAATGAATGTCTGGATTATTATGAGTGATTATTATGAATGTGATTCCGGGATGATTATTTTGAAGATGTACCGAATTTTCAGAGTAATTATTTTGTAAATTTACCAGATTTCTGGAGTGATTGTTTTATAAATATATTTTGTAAAAACCTTTCTACTGAGAAGCCAAAACGTGTTTAAGAGGTTCTTAACATGAACTATGAACTCATTATTGTAATTCATATTTTGTAAATAATTCTATAAAAGAATTACACAAATGTGATCCCTATAATATACAACTTGCGTAAAAAGCAATTACGCAACTTTATATTGTGCAAATACAAAAACAATTATTTGGTAACAAAGTGAATAAATTACATAATTAATTACATGAAGGTACTAGATAATACAACTTCACAATATAACGTATACAGAATAAATAGACGAAATTTTCTGAATGGTTATAGTAATTATGCTAATTATTATAACTTACAAAACTGCAAAATTATGTAAATAACTGTACCTTTTTTTAAAGCAAAAACATAAATCCTATTATATTATTAGATTTTTGTAAAGGTATGACTAAGTTTATATTTTGAGGAAAAAGAAGATTCATTAAGTAAAATTAATGTTGTACCACAGCACTGAAAGTTCTGCATAATTATTATATTAAACTAATATGGTTCTTGCTTTAAGATAAATATAAAATCTTTCAATAATACAACTAATAATGCTAACCGATTTCTATTCAGGCCAAATCTGTTTATGCCATACAAATGCTTTAGTTGCGTTAAATGAAGTGATTAATGCATGTAGGAAGAATTAAGGGCATTCTTTACTAGTGCTTTAGTAGTGCAAGAATTAACATAGCATAAAAGTTACGAATTTGAAGATCGTGATCTCTATTCAGACAAGGAATCAGTTTAATATCGAGTGTTTCTTGCTCCTAAATTCGTCTTTTCTTTCTTCTAAAATAAAATATATCCATGTAAAACACTCTAGACATTTTTCTGTTACGTTTGCTAATGAGCACACAAAATGTTAATTAAAATGATTTCGAAAGAAATTAACTATAATACTTTCATTATTGAGTTGTTTTTATGAGACTGAACTGAAATCGCATCGAATGATTTTTAAGTGTTTGCTTTTTGAAAGTGATTAAAATGACAGTAATAAAAAAGTTATTGCATTGTCGAAAAATGTATATATTCGGAGTTCTTTCTTAATGACTGTCTGGATTATTATGGGTGATTATTATGAATGTGATTCCGGGATGATTATTTTGCAAAAAAAACCGAATTTCCAGAGCGATTATTTCGTAAATTTACCAGATTTCTGGAGTGATTGTTTTGTAAATATATTTGTGTTGATATGACTTTTATCAGAAATAAACGAATCAGAATGAGGAAGTATTTATGCATTATAATTTATGAAAGATGCGTTTTCCAACTAAACGCAAGTAAAAACAAAAATTATTATTATATTTATAGACAAAGAGATTGAATGAAAGCAGTACTACAAACGACATTGCTGAAAAATACATTTTTGGGGACTTTTTACAAATATGTCGCATACCGATAATGTATGCTGTAATAAGGATATTTACAAAATAAAAAAGTAAACTAAGCGTATGCAAGAGAAACAAAACAAATATGCAAATATAAAAGTTATTACAAATAAGTAAATTAAAATTTGGTTTGCAGCTCTAAGCTCATTTTTTTTATTCACCGGATTTCTCATAGCAACAGACATTTATGCCTTTTGTTGGACATGAGCCTGCCTGTTGCTGATTTGGAAGCTAGCTGCTTAAACCCGAGCCACCAGGTAGATAAACGATTAGTAATGAAACAAAGAAATTAAGTAAAGCAAACAGGTATATACGCTAAAGTAATAATACAAGTAAAAGAGTAAATATAACGTACTAATTACAAGAAGAGAGCAAGTTTACAAGCAAATTAAATAATAACTATAAAAATCAACCGTATAATTAAACTCTAAAAAACTTAATAATAATAATAATAACAATAACAATATATATAAAGCAACTAAATATATATGCACGCATGAATATTTTTTCATGCATAATTTTACTCTAAGCACACATTTATTATTACAACAATATTCTCTTTCTTACATTTAAGCAAAAAATGGTATATTTGATTTGTTTTTAATTTCGGAATTTTATTTTATATGATATGATTGAAGGGAAAATTTATTTTTATTTATGAACATATATTCATAAATATATATATATTCACTAGGATTTGTGACAGCAACAAACATTCATGTCCTTCTTTAGTTATGAAAAAGGTTTGGTAAAAGATTTAATTAGCTGTTAAAAACCGAATTACTATGTGAATGAAATATAAATATTTAGTAATGAAATACAGAAATCAAGTACAGCAATAGGTGTGTAAAGGAAAGTAAAACAAACAAGGATAATATGCTAAGTAAAACAAACACACAAATTTATAAAAAAATCAGATAATAACTATGAACTATAATAGATAAATAAAGAAGCTAAACAATATATACATGCATATAATACATATCTTCACCGGTACTGGAATCGCAGTAAACATACATGTTTTTTTCAGATATGAACCTGGCCGTTGCTAAACGGGCAGTTAGGCAACTAACCCAGTAAACAAAAGATAGTAATAAAATATAAAATTTAAGCAAAGTAATATATACACTAAAGTGAAGAAAAGTAAAAAAGAAACCTAGCAAATAATAAATATATACCTAAATACCTAAATAATACCTAACTATATTGCATTAATATACAATGAGTAAAACAAATGAATGTATTAAGTAGGTAAACGTAGAAGTTTAAAGTTCGTAATTAATTATATATATAAGAAAAACACTTAGTAAGTGGAGAGGTTTATTAAGGTAATGTGAAGTTTCGCATATGCATGTATAGTTTGAAAAGTAATATTTAGTTATTGTAAGAATTGTTGGCTTTAATACTAGAGAATGTATGAAATGTAGGGGAAATCTTACGCTGGTGTCGGGAAACACTTATTATATAGTAGCATGACGTTTTCGGTCATATCTGGCTAGGTTTTTATGAAGCTTAATGATTCAAATAACCTGAAATATACTATGTAACTTCAAAAACAATTATCAAGGTATCACAGTTCCTATGAAACATGTTTGTGACATGGAAAACACTGTGGTATTATTTGCGCGTCTATTATGCTTTCGTGTTTTATAATGCATAAATAATGTAAATTTATGATTACATTTTGTATATATTGCTTAAAGCAATCAAATGTATCAAATTAATGCAAGCCTTGAAACTGTGTCCAAACATGCTAAAACGACTAATTTTGACGAAAGATGACGTTTTTGTTTCGTTAAATTTTTAACGGAGAGTATAATCTTTTTAATAAAAGAAACAAACATATTTTTGAAAGTAAGTTGACTGCAAGAAAAGTTTTATTTTGAAAAAAGGTTTCTAGAAACTGATTCCTCCTGGTACTTTATATATATATAATTACGTCGTACTAAAAGTACATACTGTTATTTCGTCTGTTACAAGAATTGCACTTTTTCATCGCTGTGGTACTAAAAGAATACTTCTCAAATTATGGTTCGCTGAATTATTTTTAAAATTCTATATAAAATGCCCTTTAAATTAAAGTACAAACACTAAATGGAAGTAATCAGTTTATTTTTGCCTTAACTTTGAAAAAAGGATTTTTTAATGTACCTTTCCAAAGTTAAAAAAAATTCTTAAATTTGTGTACTTTTTGTATCATCCGTGTAAATTCATAGTGATTTATTTCAAATGATGATAGTTTGGCTTCAATGTTTGTGAAAACTAATTCTAAAAATGTAAAAATGAGAGTTATGAAACTGATGGCATTGCAGAAATCTTCAGCTAATGGCCAAAAAACTGGTTTGAGCTTTTGTCGTATACGGTATAACACTGAAGTATAATACATAATTTGTTCTGTTAAATCCGTATAATACTAGACTCAGACAAGAATATCACATAGCATTTCTTAATTTTGGATAATAAAGACTTCAAAATTTTGCCTCTGCGAAAGTATTTGTGCTTGTGGTGCTAACTTAATTCATTTCAAAAGTAATAGATCCATCGAAACGGTTCAAATTCAGAAATTAAACTAATTGCGCAAAGAATGATTTGTGAGCATTAACTTAATAGAATGTTTTGAAGACACCAGACATGGATAAAATGGTGGCTAGGCGTTTTTGCATTGTGTACTGAGGTACTTGAATAACACAGTTATCTAGTAAAACTGATAACTAGCAGTAACTGGAGCTGATAACTAGCAATAACAAGAGAAACTAGCAAAACAAACTTTTATCTTTCGAAACGATCTTATTCGTTAGAACTTATTATTAATACCCCGCAGTATGCAATGAGATATAACTTAAGCATGCCAATGATTTGCCACGAAAGATTAATGTTAAAAAATTACATGCACATCACACGTAAAACTTTGCAATATAAATACAATAACAGACATACATCACCCATACAACATTGCCATATAAGTAATAATGAACGGACTTTCGAGAGTGAAATATTATATAATCTAATCCTTGCAATCAAAAGGTACTTACATCCAGAAAATGCGTTATTTTTATAACATACCGGTTAAGAGAATTGTATTGCCAGTGTTGATATCACAACCTTCACTAACAAATCCTTTAAAAGTATTTTAAGTGTACAAATTAACCTAAATAAGCTTTCGATACTTTTTTTAGGATTTCAATGATCTCTGTAAATTTTAAACGATTAAGTAAGCACTTTGATGTGCTTCATTTCGTTGAAATTATTTGTGTTGTAAGAGCAACTAAAGAATAAAACTGAGGTTTTATATACTTTACATATATCACTGGAAATTAGAGAAGATGAGAAATTGAAATGTACCTGTCCGTTTCTGAATAAAGAGCATTTGTTTCGATAATTACATTTATTACAATAATAAGCATTAACAAAATTTTACTCATGAAAGTCCTAAGTAGTGAGTTACATTGAGTGAATTCAAAACACTCTTCAGAACACGCAGATGCATACAGAATACGTCATCAGATCGTGTGAATTATGTGCGTGTAATGCGGCATTGTTAGAGCTTAGCAAGATACAATTGCTAATTTGCTATGAATCAAGAACATTAAATAGAAGGTCAATATGCGTGTATTTACTACTACATAAACATTGGTACATGTTTTACATCCATATAATTCAATATATATTTCTTAATCGATCCTTGAAATTAAACTGGTGCAGTTTTCTGACATCCTGCTTTCAACAGATTGCAGATCATTTGATTTTGGTAATCGTCGTCGAATTGTGTATTTGCACACTACGGATTTATTTGCGATATGAGTTGAACTGATATTAAAACTTATGAAATAAATTTTATACCTTCTAACCGTGAAAATTTACTTCACGTGTAAAGAAAGAAGATTAGGAGAGAATTTGGACTTTCATACTCTAGGAGTATCTACTGCTTGAAATTAAATGTGATCGCAGTGTAGAGACATTAGGTTAATTGGAAAAGCCGGAGAGATGAAAAATGAGCAACCGCCTTCTCTGGGAATCGAACCACGGACCTCTGGAATACAGGCCCAACGTATGATACCACTACGGCACGCTAGAAAGGCGGGAGAAATACCTTATATACTCCTTATATACCTTATATACGTTGGGTTTTATCCTAACGGTCGTATTTTATTATTTTATTTTTAGCTTCGTTATATGTGTTTTTGTTACTCGGGGCCCGTTAATAATTTTTGGTTTCCCGGTTTAATTTTAATGTTAATTCTAAATTTAATGTTAATTTTAATGTTGATGTTTTGAGTCTTGTATGTAGTGTTATATGGTGTTTTGTTTTTCTATGCTGCCTCTTTTCTTTTTGGGACATGGCCGGGCTGCTGGATGCCGTCGTTTGTGGTTTGGCTTGGCGCACCCCACTATTTCATAGAATCTCATCGATTAGGGGATGGGGCTGCGCCCTTGATCCACCGTATATACTCCGGTTGTTCGGTAACGTTCCTCATACGCCGTTGTGTGTTCTCTGGCGGCAATACCAAGTTTAATATTTGTACACAAACCAAGAACCTTATATACTCCCCCTTTTAAAGGGTGATTGGGGTTTTTAGGGGAACCAATCGCCAAATCCTAGGTGAGGAGAATCATCATACAACACCCTTCTAGTTCGGGCGCCACTGTAAAGTTTTTTTAGCTTTGAACAGAGATGTTGGAACTAGGTTTTATTGACAAATCATTATTTTTGTGACATCAAAGCTTAACTTCATATTCTTAAGAAATTTCAACAGAATATTTTCTGAAGAAGAGACTGTTTACCATAAAATATGATGCTAAAACGTAGCTTGAAGCCTCGCACTTTTAAAAATGAATTTGTTTAAAACTGACAGCTCAGAGTAATTTTCAGCAAGACATGCTACACGCATACAAGAGAAGGGTTCATAGGAAATACATAGGAAATACAGTCGGTAGTCAGAGATATAATTTTTTATGCTTTATACTAGAAAAAAGAATAGTTTTTTTATTCAGATTTGAATTATGAGCTTCGAAATTAATACGAAACATTTGAAACATATTAACTGTTATTAAATATCATCCAATTTTTGTGTTTATAACCTTTCATCCAATGGAGTGTATCAAATGATATGTTATTGAAAGTTGTGATTTAAAAATAGCATGTTGCTACTGAATCACAGTAGATGGATCAGCAGCAACATGTGATTTTCAACTGCCCGTGTAATAACATAAAGGACTTGATTGAAAAATATGGTAGAAATACCTAAGTAAACATCACAAACAAATAATACGATATCATAGTTTTAAATGCCGTTATCATGTAAAGTTCAGACTGAACTCGAAAGATAGAATATTACAAAAGCATAACTATACATATCTGACTCGTTGTATATAAAAACGTTTCAGATAGACATACACAAAAAGAAATTCACAGTATTAGCTTGAGCAATAATAAAGTTCAAATTAGTTGAACTGTAGCATTATCACAGTCCCAAATTGTTTGACATTACTTTGATGATGTTAATAATCAATGTTGTAAGACCAGCCTACTTCTGCTTATTAATAAAGAACTTCAGCAAAATAAAGACATAAGATAATCATTTCGTTAACTAAAGAACGTGTTTGATTTTAACTTAATATAATCCACGCCACATTATCCCTGTAGATTATCTAGCGATCAATGATGTATTTTGTTCTTAAACATGGCACGATATATTTTGAAAATAGTAGTATTGAATGCAAGCAACTCTTATTTCAGAATAAATTTGAAAGTAAAGAATCACAATAATTCCCCGATTAAGCAGAAAAATAACACCATTTCTTCACTAAAGTAATATTTTTCATTTCTTTAAAAAACAAAATTTTTATTCGTGTGCAAAAAAGAGAAAATAGTCTCAAGAAAATTTTATACTCACTGCTCTGTCATGTGGTGAAAAATGTAACCAAAATATTACTTCAGTCACATATAACGTATAAAAAGAAATTGCATACGCAATTTTCTCTTCTATTTCTTAGAAGAAAAGAATGTTAAGATACTTAAAATCTGAGAGATGTACCATACAAATCGGTTTCCCTTTAAATTATAAAAATTATTTTCTTCTCAAAAGAAAAGGAATTCTTGACATATGTTTTTCTTATACTCCGAAAATTATCCAAAAAGCCTTAAGACGTCGATTATCAAAAGCATAATTATTTAATAGAAAGATAAATTAATAATAATAAGTGTGGGAAGGAAAGCAAAATAGCACCATTTTAAAATTAAAACAGCCTTCTCAAACTCAAGATAGGCTACATAAAATTACAATGCTAAATATTTAAAGTTTACCTGATGACTCGCAAGCTAAATACAGAAAAGTATTATCAGAAGCTCACAAAACAATAATGTTTGTTATTGAAATCATACAGACAATTATTACAAGGTTTTAAAAAATTCTCTGAGTTAAAAGCTGTATTTCCGGTAAGTTTCATTCCTTTGAAAAAATATTTCGATCATAAAATTTGCTTATTCTGCCGTTTTTAGCTGGTGACCTTTTCAATCCAGTCCACGTATTCTGAAATTTTTGTGTACACACCAGGAAGCTTTGGCCTGGCGCAACCGACTCCCCAAGATACTAGTCCAACTAAGGTCGACCTGCCATTTTTCACTGCTGTCAAAGGACCGCCGGAATCCCCCTAAGAAGAAACAAAACACTTAACCAACCAAAAAATTGTGTTATACATTTATTAACTATTAACTATATGAAAGGAAGAAAGAAAAAGTCACAGAAATGATAAATGAAATATCGTATGTGATTGCCCTTTTAACAATTATATATAAATATAATTCTTGAACTTTTATTCGAATTCAGTTAATATTCAAGCAAAAATAAGCTCTTTTTCAGAAAATTATATCTTGTATTTGATACAACCCAGATCTTATTCACACGACTGAGCTATATTCTGAACCACACTATACCAAACAGCATTTTAAAGCAAGAAACTGTGCATACTTTTTGACATGTTTCGTAAACAGTTTTTATAATTAATGTGAAATTATTAATAATTCAGTAATAATAGCCCATTAATTATCCTATAGAATTTTTTTACTTATAACTTTGTAGAGACATTAAGATTTTTTTGGAAGCAGGCAAGATGAAGAACAGCAACCGCCTTCGCCGGGAATCGAACCACGGACCTCTGGAATACCGGACCAGCGGTGGTGTGATGTACTTAATTATGGCAAAGAACACTAGGGCTATCTGCCTAAGGGAAGGGATGCCTTCGTGGAGGACTTTCTAAGGGGAACTGACTCGTATACACGTTACACATGGGGAAAACTACGAAAACGCCCATGCAGCCAGCCCGTTCGCGGGATTCGAGCCTCGGATCGAACTGCTCGGCCGCTAGTGGGCCCACCAACCCAGCGTGCAGAACCACTACATCACGAAGGCAGGCTAGGAAAGCGGGAGATATACCTTATATGATCCCTTTTCTATAGGGCGACTGGGGTTTTTAGGGAACCCAATCGCTAAATCCCGGGTGAGGAGAATCATGATCCATCACCCTTTTAGTTCGGGCGCCACTGTAGAGACATTAGGATTTTTTTGGAAGCAGGCAAGAAGAAAAATAGCAACCGTCTTCGCCGGGAATTGAACCACGGACCTCTGGAATACCGGCCCAGTGTGCAGAACCACTACACCACGAAGGCAGGCTAGGAAAACGGGAGATATACCTTATAACTTATTTCATATAAAGTTATAATAAAGTATGTTATACATGTTGGAATTAGCATTAATCAATTTACTATTTAAAAATTAAAGAAACAAAAATTTTATTCACTTAAAATTCTTCATTAAATTAATTCGTAAGTACAAAATTTTCATTTTTAGTCTAATTCTTACTACGGATAAATTTTGCCTTAAGTATAGGAAAACTTCTCTCATCCGAATTTTAACATTCATTGAGAAATTGCACAGATTTGATATGCATTCTCATTTCTTTTATTATTAATGAATACTGATAAATGGTACCATAAAAAGTGGGAATCAAGGATCAAACTCAGGTACTGTATACGAAGAGGCGCTGTAAAAACTATATTATCTGTAGCCATTCATCACCTCTAGTCGCTGTACAGATTCTGGCCTCGGTTATTTTTCCTTTAGCGAACCAGGAAATCTGTCACAAATTAATCAACTAAAGCTATCCGAACCCATTAATCAGCTCTGGATAATATTTGCTTAACCACAAAACTCGCGTAATTTATAATTTTAGGATATAATAAGAGCATTCAAAAAACTGTACCCCTTCTATAAAAAGGGCTCAGATACTTCTTGATGTAGCTTGAATCCCTGTATCTGTCCTAATTAGCGAAACCTCCATGTATGCTACAACTGCAGACGCATTAAATTATAACACTCTTCCGATTTTGTGTCTCCTTATGCAGAGGTCACAATCTCGAGGCCCGTGGGCCGTATGTGGACCCCGAAGCAATTTTATGCAGCCCACCAATGCATTTTAAATGTACTACATTTTAATTACGCATTGTTAATACGGTGCTTATAGTTTTAGGGACACAAAGCTATGAATTGAGTTTATGTGTGCGACTGCTATTGAAGGGGAAAAGGCAGAAGGTTGGGGCTTCGTATTTGTCACGCTTGTACGTCAAGCCATGTACTACAGAAATGCGAGAGAATTTCCCACGTTGATTAAGTCAGTAAATCTGACTTGTCAGCCAAAAGCTGGCTTGTGTTATTATTATCGTTGTTTATGTTTTAATATATACTCAGTAAGAGAAATATAAAATTTATTTAATTTATATTTTTGTTTTGTTAAAAATGCTTTTATATTTCGTTAAAAAATGTATTCTGGCCCTGCCACAGCTTTCAGATCAAGCATTCAGCTAGCATGCAGTTTAAGTTTGAGAAAAATGGCATAAAGTATTCAGTCAGATTGCACATATGGAAACTGACTTCTTTTTGTACGCCAGTTTTAGCTGTAATTTTGGAAATTTGTTTTTCTAAATGTACCACGATTGCTAAATGCACATTTATTAAAATGCCATGAGTTATTTTCTAGGTTGCAATCTACTTCAACAAAGATATTATAAAGCTAAAAAAAATCTTGCTTTTCCTAAAACAATACACATAACGCATTTTTTCTTTCAGAATTAAACACTGAAATTAATTTTTCTCATCCCTAAAAATACTTCTGACTTTTATTTCATTTTATGAATTTCATTTGTATACTTATACAGGAACTAAAACTGAACGAGCAATTTTGCTTCTGCTATTACCACACTGAAAATAAACAAAGAAATTATTTTTGACTTAAAAAAATAAATAATCTACTTCCATTAACTGAAATTAAACTAAGGCATTATTTGTTGTGCTTTATATTTGTTGTATACATTTATCTAAATTATACATGTAGTACAAATTCATCTAAATGCATGTGATAACTCTTTTTAAATATGTTTATATTCTTCTGGATTAGCTTTTGATATTATTTAAATAAACGAAATAACCAAGAAAAATGTTTATGTTGTGACTAATCTTCCTTGACATAATCAGAAGTCCATAAATTTTATTTTGACAGGAAGACTGGCTCTGTAATTGACAAGAGCCTCGAGCACTATATAAGTAAGAGTATGATTTTGCTCAGTTTTGCCCCAAATTTTGACAGAGAGACCCCCTAAGGACTGGTCCGAGTCTCCCACCCCACTTTCCCTGCCACCAAATGTAATAAGAGGGCTTTCTGCTCGCCATATATTTAGAGTGTCCCCCTGCCGCAAAGACACTATACATTTACAACAGGCATGCCTTCTTCGGGTTTCGAGCTCGGACCCTTCGGTACGGTAACCAGTATCCTCTTGGAGGGCACAAAGTAAATAAATCAACGGCGGGAATAATTTTACTTGGCCTAGAATGAAGTACAAGCTATCCAGATGTTCGAGTATAGAATACCTGAAGTTCGAATAATTGTTTTGCAATGCATGTGTAAAAATCTTAATGTAAATGTAATAAATAAAATTGATTTACCTGACAGGAGTCTTTGCCGCCTTCCTTGTAACCGGCACACACCATTGTTGAAAATATGGTTTCTTTCCTTCCTATGCTTTTATACCATTCTTGGCACTCATTATGATCAATGACTTCGAGCTCTACTTTTTGAAGAATTCCTGGTGAGTCTCGAACACCTAAGAAATCAGTACATTATTAAAATGCTGTATTTCTGGAACCATGCAAAATGAAAAAGTTAAATAAACACCGATAAACTTTTAAACGATAATAAACATTGAAATTCTAATAAGAATTGATAAATGAAAATTTATTGGGTGTAATACTGAATAGAAAGCTTGGGAGCAAACTATTCCGCAGTCTGTGAGAGGAACTCCAGTTGACGCTCGTCCTGATGCATCCTTGCATCAAGGCCGATTTAAGGGCCCCATAACACCAGAAATTGAGAGCTTCGTACATTTGTTGCAAGTCTGCATGATGCTGATCACTGATCACACTGCGACTTTGTGAGAGAAATGATGGTTTAGTTTATTTGATTATGACAAAGCACTCGAGGGTTATTTTGCTCAAGGGGAGGGATGCCTTCGTGGAGGAAATTGGCTCGTATACACGTTGAACATGAGGAAAACCACAAAAGCGCCCATGCAGTCACCCCCTTAGCCGAACTACCAGTATTCAGTGACTTCATCGCTCGTCCGCTGGCGAGCCCGTGAGATAAATCTTTCTATATGAAGAACATCATATCTATATCTATAATTGATCTATATTCGACAAGGTTAAGTTAAATATTTATTCATAATGTTACATTTTAGTTAATTAATCAACATATGAAAAATTCTACAAATCAAAGGATATGGATTAATGCGCCATTCCCGTCTAGCATCTAACATCTAACTAACTTCTACTTCAGGTGAGGGCGCTGCTATCTCCGTATGACATCATATTTTTCTACAACTATTAATTCTTTATAAAATCTTTTGATAGAATATGTAAAATATTTTTAAATGTTTTTGAATAACATTTTTAAGCTTCTTAATTAACAAAAAATGAAATAAAATAATTATATTTGGATTTAATTAAAATTTACTAATAATTTACATTTGAATTTTAGAATTAAATAATTTAAATTTATTAATAAATTAATTGGTAAGTTTAAATTTATTAGTAAATTTGTAAAAAGAAATGAAATAAATTAATTACTTTCTTTTGGATATTGAGTACGGTTTTTAGTTTGCCATATTTTATTTATGTTAGTCTCCCGAACCACATTTTGAAAATTTGGAATAAATGGAATTGCACAACTTAAATATCAAAAACACATAGATAGCATAAATTAATATATCATAAAATGTATATACTAACATTCATTGTGTTCAATTATAAATATATATAATTGCGTAAGCAAGCGATCTAAAAGAGCATTGTGAGAATTTAGGCACGGAACTTACAATATCTGTATCATTGAAACTGTACATATAGGGAAAGAATATTCTAAAATTTCAATCAAAATTAAGAAATGCTAATTCGTAGCTTTTTGAACATTTTTTATGTTATGGTGCCTAGTTTTCACTTGGATACTTTAATGATAATTCAAATTCTTAACACGAAATCAATCAGTTCTCAAAATTCCCATTAAACTGGTATAACTTCGCCGTAAATGCATTGCAAAGAACACGAATTGAACTTGGAAAGAAGTGATGATCGCTTAGAGCTTATTTCACCGAGCACTGAAATCCATTGTAACTGCATCATGCGATTAAATATGTTTTTCGGAAGCTAAAATATATTTCATTATCAGTTTCTTGATTCTCCGATTGTTCCTCCGATTTCGATGTATCTATATTTAATTTCTATCAGAACTGCACACTTGGTTTCATTAATGGTTATTCCTTGAATAGCTACAATTATTGCTAGGCAGTTTAAGTGAATCGTTCTCATTTTTATTTCCTGGAAAGAGTGGGAATAAAAAGTAATAGTAAGGCAAGATTCTCCTTTTCTGAGCTTTCTATTGTTTACAATGCGCCAATAAAATTAATTGCCTAATATGAAAGATATAAAAATAAGGTTTAAAATTCTGAATTTTGTTAAGAAAGAATTAAAACAATCCCTTGCGGTGGTGGCCCTACGAATTATGCAGGCTACACATGGCGAAGACCACGAAAACGATCATGCAGCCATCCCGTTCCCCTAGATTCAAACCCACCTAAGAACTACCAGGGTTCAGCGATTTTACCGCTCGGCCGCTGGTGGGCCGGCTATGAGAAGGAGATTCCCAGAAATTAGACGGTTGCCATATAGCAGAGAAAATGCAATAGTTTCAAATTTTACAAACTGTGTTAATAAAGTTTGATTACAATAAACATGATGTTTTAAAATGACCTTACGTTTCAAAGCGGAAAGTAAACGAACATTATTTTTTATAATAATTTTAACTTTCCACAACTAATTTAACTCCATTTGTAGTTCTTCATCCAATAAAAATATTTTTTATAGTAGAAATCAAAGAAGTGATAGATATTTTGACATCCTAAATAAAATGAAGAAAAGGAAATGAAAATTAATAAATATGAATAGATATGAAAATAAACGATATATTTTCAATTCCTAACTTGTGAAAAATTATTTTTTGGATTTAAGTTGATTAAAAGAAATAGCTTCTAACTTAGCACTTAATAACGAGATGAAACGAATGCTGCAGACCATCAAAAATATCTAATTTAGGAAAATCCATGTTATTCCAATAATTCTAGACACTAAAAAACAAGAACAAGTTTAGGTCTTTTAAAGAAACCTGAAGCATATAATTTACTTCAAACGTATTCGAATAAAAAAGTTGCATTAAGAATATTTTTAATGTTGCTAGTAATTGTTGCTGGTGGAGAAAGGAACTACAGAAAACTGTTAATAGCAAAAAATTCTGAAAGATTCGGCTAAGAAAAGCTTTTAAACATGCTTATTCTTTCTAAAGGAAATGAATCAAGTAATCAAGTAGATTCTGAAAAATTATTAAAGAATTTGGTTCATTAAATGTAGAAAAAAGTGTTTGAAAATCAATGTAATACTTTAAGTTAATTATATTACTGCTTGTACATTTGAATACTGTTCATCAAAAAAGCGTTTTTATTGTTTTTTATTTTAAAAGATATAAACCTTTCTGTGAATATATAAAACTGTGATTAAAATCATTATAACAGCTATGATTTAAATTAGTTATCTTTGAGTAGTATAAAATATACTGATATTCCATGGAGTCCCTTTAACGTTTTTACTCATGGTTAAAGATGATAGTGCGGCCCATCAGCCGCCGGGCATTAAAGTCCCTGAGTAATGGTAGCCTGGTCCGGAGGTCAAATCCCGGCGAACGGGCTTGCTACAGGGGCATTTTCGTCGTTTTTCCCATTTATAACATACGTATTAGACAGTTTCCCTTAAAAAGTCCTCCACAAAGACATCTCTCCCCTTAGGTAAATAGCCCTCGAATGCTTTGCCATAACCAAATAAACTAGATTACGGGTTACTTTAAGAAAGCTGATGTTCAATATTGATGTTTATTTATGTTCTAAGAAATACTGCTCACTTTCAAAGAGACCGGCTAAGGGAGGTGTTCATCACAAAGGCTTCACTGTAGCTAGTTTGACTAAATATGACTTGTAAATACTATCTTACAGTAATCTTAAAGTTTAGGTCTGGATTATTACTAAGTTTTGAAATTCTAAAAATACAACCTATCCCTTAACCATTTTAAACAATTCTTTGTTTATCCATAATAAGTCAAGAAATCACTATATTATAATCAAATATATTGGTCTCACTAGGTCTTACACACACCTCCTGCTTTGGTGGTCTGTTTTATTGGCTCAAACCAGGTTATGATTATTGTGCTTCAGACATGTTATTACGAGTCCCGATTTAAAACTATTACAAGGGTTAAAATATAAAACTAAATCTTTGTATTTCACATAAAATTGAACAGAAATAATAATACAAACACTTAAAACTAGTAACTTTTTTTAGAAAACAGGTTCTAAAATTTTATGCGTTCAAGAACCCCTTTCGTATCGCAGGCATTTTGCTGAATTCTTAAGCATTAACTTGCTTGATAATTATTTTATATGGCATTAACTAACGAATCAAATTTGCTTTCTGGAATCACTCACAGACTCCTGGTTATTAACTCCTCCGGTTCCGTGGATTCCGGTCTACGAATTGCTGATTTAAAAGAAATAAAAAATATTCTTGAAAATTAATGTTAAACTATTCAGTGTAAATATTAGAAAAATACATGATTTTACCTCAGAAATAGTGCTTTTCTCGTTACGCCTACAAATGCTACATGAACAATGATTATTGATTTTCTCTTTCTACTGAAACTGAACATACTTGTTTATTGCTGCCCATAGATAAGACTCATATCCTGTTGTTCAGGCCGTTAACCTCCCGATACTTGCGTTTGACTACCATAGCACCTACCTCAAAAAAGGAACCACCCGCGAACAATGCTTTATTTCCCTGCATAAATCTACACGCTTCCTTTCCTCCACCTTACGTAAACCTTCGGTCAGTTATAATTTGTTCTTCTGTACTCTGCGACTTCCTTTAAGTTCTTAGTATACATGCAGAAGAAATGCAACCCAGAACATCTCAACATTTAACAAACCTCACTTTATTTCCGTTTTCGAAATTTCTATTGCAGATCAAAGTTACAAAGCATTTGGACTCAGAGACCGTAAGCTAGTCAACGTTATTTTAAAAGGTTCTGAGCATCTTTTCTTCGAAACGTGATTAAGTCCAATATAAATACTAGCTTCAGTTGAGAAACCGCTCATCTTCTCTAAGCAAAAATAATAAACATATTTTAGCATTTCTTATTCTATTATGTCATCATTATAGTTCAAAATTTGTTACTTACCATAGCGGGTTCGTCCCCAGCCTGTTACAGTTGCTTTCTGGCCTGAAAAATCTTCGCCATAGAGAGGCAGGCATACTGGAATGATGTGACGGCGAAACCGCACTGGTCTTTGCAGTTGTAACAGAGCTATATCATGTTGATAGTTCGAAGGGTTGTAGTCTGGATTAACGACTTTCCTTCGTACTGCTAATTCTTCATGAGCGTATTTTTCAGTGGTCTGCTTGATATCATGGTCCCCTAAACGAACTCTCAAACCCGAAGTTTGAGTCCTATTTAAAATACAAGACACTCATATGAACTGAATAATTATACACTAATATACTACTGAATGATTAATTAGGGTAAAATAAGTTTTCCAGTGAACTATAAATTTAAGATCTATATCTGTTAAAAAAATTAAAATTTGACTTCAAAGAAAAGTAGCAATAGTTACTGAGATATGTATTTAGTTTACGCCAGGTTGAAAGTAAAAAAACGACTCAAAATGTATCATAACTTGAAACTAATTTTTATACACTGTTTTAGAAAGGGGATGGTAAACCTGGGTGGAATTATAGTAATATGTAAACTTATACACAAAATTTTGCAGTAAGTAGAGACTAGAAATTTTGCAGCAGAGATTAAAATGCAAACAACTGTAAGAAAGATGCCATCTTTCAGTTTAGATAGATGATCATATTTTTCCTTTTATGATTTTTATATTTCAAGAACGTATGCTGCTATTTAGTACATAACGGAAGTTATAGATGTATGGTTTAATAGTTTGAGATATTAAATGCATATTTTTTTATTGCGAGTGAAGTAGTATCTTACGTAATACGAAACAATATTCATTAGTTAATTCAAGACGCAGGTGTAAGATTCATTATTTTGAGAATCTCTTAGGAAAAATGTCAGTTTAAGAAGTGCTGGTATTCTTTCTTTAAGCTCGTATTAAAAGTCATTATTTATAACTTATTTGTAGTAACATTTAAAACCAAAATTTGAAATATATAACAGAACAGTTAATTTTATATAAATCATAAATTAAAGTCCTTTTTCATTATTAATTTATTACATATACATATATAAAAAATTTAAATTTATTTTGAAAGAAATTGGAGAGTAAATATTATCCTTATTCGGACGAAAAGTTTTATAAGATTTAAACATGCACACAGAATTGCAAAAGAGATTGTTAAAACTAATTTTGTACGTATACTATTTAAGACGAAAAGCGTTTGAACAGGATAAGTAATGGGGAAAATAAATAAAAGATTTACCTTGAAACAGTGAAATTACTTATATTTAACTGCAAATATTGAAACAGTGAAATGACTTAAATTTCTTAAATTAAACAAAAGAGACCAGACAAGTATGTTTACATTAGACTCTCATTTGTAAATATCATCTGTCTTGAAATTGTCAGATCTGCCAGTTTTTATTCATAATGTGTGGCTTTTCGTATTATATAAAGAATGCTCACTTAAACCTTTTCTGTGACATCATATTTGTGTTTTAAAAGTGTAAATATGAGTAACGTTATCACTGCAGATCTGTTATATGTCTTCAAATGATCATCTTTCAATAACAGTTTAACTCGAAGTGATATTTAAAAGCAAATACACTATACACTTGCTTAATTTCTTTTTCCATGCCTGTCATACCTTACACCTATTGGATTCCAAACCTTTAAAAACGAATAAAAAAATCTCTGCACTTTATATTGGAGGATTAATACTTTTGCCTCGCGTAAAGCAGGATTCATTATTAAACTCACAGATCACCACTTTAAAATATTTATTAAGCATACCTCAGCCAACTTTACCCTTAAACGAACGCCATTTTCATTTATCAAACACAATGAGAATCAATAAAAATCGGATGTTAACCATGGGGATCATATAAAAATTTAGACTATGTTTGAGAATGCCTTCCACTCATATAGTCTTGAGTACTTTCGTGAAATTCAGCATCTTTCACAAATTCTTTCATAAAATTCTGTAACAAAAACGTGTATCTGTAAATACAGATATGCAGGTTCACTATTTAAGGTAATAAAGCCAACTTTTTCAAAGCGGATATCCAAGATACTCGTATTCTTGTAAGGTACTGTCTGAAACTCTTAAACCTTTAACATGTAATAAAATTTTAAAGTGAAAACTTAATTAGTTCACATACATTCGAAAATTGCAATAAAAGGCCAACTGTTTGATTACACCGAGCAGTTTTTCCTTTTCAGCATTATGTTGATCAGAAATGAAAAAGAAGAGAGTGCTAAGAAATATAGGGACACCAAGATAGCAGGCAGCGGCAAGGTATTGCCTGCTGGTAATCAAGTTCTTGTGACTAGCTCAGTCAACTGTACTTACTCACTATTAGCAGATTTTTAAGCTTCACAGTTGATACTACACCTGCAAGCAGCTAATACTACACCTGTAGATGCAAGATACATGAAAAACTTGCCTCTACAGGCGCTAAGAGAAAGGGTGTGAGAAAGTTACCTCGCAACGCAGTGGGCAGCCGTCACAACCCATTGTCTGTTAATGAGGGCTCCTCCGCAGGAAATCTTCCTGTACAGGAAAGATTGTTTCACAATCGCGACCTGCAAAGAAAAAGAAAATTACTTAAAAGTACGTCTTTACATCTAAGAAAAATTAAATTACTCTTCTGGATCTTTACCTAAGGTTAAAATTTACCTTAAAATTTACCTTCATTAAGGTTAAAATTTAAGTTTTATGTACATCGTTTAACTTAAATTAACAGATTTAAGTTTTTACACAAAGACAAAATTTAGCATTTTTGACTTTTCAGGTTGATCTTTAAATTCATTAGTCAGTAATGTTAACAGAAAAAATGTCAATTTCTCTTAATGATCGGTATATATTTAAACCAGGATTTCCAGTTGGGTCGCTGTTGATCTCATAGGGGTCGATAAAATTTTAAAAGGAGTCACTGATGATCAAAGGGTCGATTGGGGGTCAATAAAGGAATATGCACCCCAAGTGATTATCGTCATCAAGATCCCATTGATTACAAAAAATATTAATATAATGATAACTAAGTGTTTATTGATATAAAGCTATATTTTAAGTATCTTACAATTTCGTTCTAAAATTCATTTGCTTGTATCGGCACTAAATTGAAAAGAACTCCATTATTTTGATAACTTCCTGCAATTGTAGTTATTGAAAAGAATCGTATTTGATCAGAAGATATATTGTTGTATATTTCCAAAATTTAAAAGAAGATTTTAATATTCACTTCTAAGACATTGAATATTTGAATGTGCCAGCTTGACACATAGAGTCACCAAACTGTGATACATGTAATTTTGATATTAAAATGCAAGAAAAATTCGACTGAACAAATGAATAATGTTCAAGCACCAATCTTATTTAAAACACATGAACAGACTAAGTTTTGGAACTTAAAAGTCATCCGAGATATATATCTCAAAGTAAAAGCTGTCCTTGATATCTTTGAGATATATATCCTTGATATAAGTCCTTGATATATTTGAGATATATATGTCTCAAAGTCATATATATCTCAAAGTAAAAGCTGTCCACCAAACCATCATTATTTGACTTTTTCCGTCTTCTTACCTAGAAGAAGCAGACTTTAGTGAAGTCAATAATCTTTTACAGAAAACAATAAACAGTCTGAATATTTATGAACTACGTGACTTAAGAGTTAAATTATAAAACTAAGAAAAAAACTTTATGCCAAATATTAAAACAATACATCAGTACATCATGCGCAGCCATCACATTAATTAAAATCGAGATTTTGTTCAATTAGAATCTGCGATTTTGCTTCCGAAAGCTTGTTTAGATTTTTTGAATAAAAAATCATAATAATACAAAAAATAATAATATATTAATCTAATAAATAATTTTCCCCAAACTTTTGTTCATATTTTTACTCTTTTATCTTGAAGTTATTTATATACGAATATTTGCATACAATATATGTTGTGTGTTATAGAAAAATGTAAGGGAAGAGATTGAAAGAAAAAATATTTTTTTTAAAAGAGAATGCAAGAAAAGGATTGGGAATCCCTGATTTTAACCACCAGCTGCCAAAATTTCCTTCCGTACAATCTACAGATTTTGTAGTTTCATTAACTCAGAGAGTGTAATTTTGGGATCGACAGCTAAGTAGACCGTCATGCCAAAATAAAAACATTCTTGAAATTGAATAGCATTTAATTAGACTGTAAAGATATTAGAATCCACAATAGCGTAGAGTTAAAATGTGTTTTTAAAAATATTATTAACCATTTTTAATACATAAAATGAAACTTTGAAATCTTTTGAAACTAAAAAAAAATATTTTCTTGTACAAACTGAATACTGCAACTCACTTAATATAAACACAAACCAGCTGCGTAACCTCAGTCGAGGTCTCGAAAGCAATGTCATACCGTAATCCTTATTTCCAACTGAAGAATAGTATTAAATCTTTCCGCATAGGGAGATAATTTAATGGAAATCTTGGGTCTGTGAATAAAGGCTCTGCCGTTCTTCATTGGGTTGCCGTTTTTACCATGTTTTGATATTGTTCGTATAAAAACACTACAGTACATTACAAAACAATAAAATACACAATAACAAGACACTGATACGCTATGCCATAAATCAATATTCACTAAGTCATTCACTCAGTTATATCATTCACCATCTTCGTGAATGATTGCTTGCCAGCGTTCAAGTAGGACTTCAGTGCCTCTCCATCAGAAATGGTGTAGTTTCGCGTTGAAGAAATTTGTTAGCCAATTGCTAAGAGAAACTTCATGATGAATTCTTGTCCTTGAATGTTGTTATACAGAGACCGGAAAAGATAGTTACCAGAAGGGGTGATAAATGTGTCGGAAGTTCAATTTTCTCTACTTGGCACTCCATACTGATAGCCAAAACGCGCTGTTAACAACATACAAACTCCTATTCGCAACAGTCAAACTCCAAACTAAGGAGAAACAACTGAATAACAAAACAACGAAGGCTTCACAATGCAATGTTTCCAGCCAAATGAAGAACGGCACGGTCTTATGCACCGACCCAGTATATAAAAGAAGAAAACCTAATCAGCTTAACTATGACTTCATTCTTTCTTTTCTTTCATTTATTTTTTATAAAGTCTTTGTAGAGTCATTAGGTTATTTTAAAACAGAAGACGTGAAAAATGAGCAATGCCTTCGCCGGGACTCGAACCTGGACCTTTCGAATACGCGCCGAGTGTGCTACCGTTACTCCACGAAGGCATGCAGAAAGGACAGAGAGAGAGAGAGAGAATACCTCATATACTCAGATTAATCCCTAATCCTCAGTCATCCTTTTAAAGGGTGACTGAGGATTAGGGGTATGGTTGATTATATTCCAAGTATATTGTAAAAGAACTTAAGTAATATGCATGTAAGGTACGAAGAAGTATCTATATGCTCCCTGGCCATAAACTGCCCTCTTGGCCTTTATTTTCGTAACCGTTTGTCGTAGATATATACTTCCAGTCACAAAAACGTTTAAATGATGCAAAAGTTTATGTTTTGGCATTTTAAATTTAAAGAAATTAATTTTATGAAAATTAAGTAGTCTAACTTTTTACACGTTCTTCCAGTCCCTATACTCCTATTTAGAAAAACTTTCTACTCGTTATAAATAGTAAAAGAACAAAATGTTTGCCTCCCGTGCGCCAAAAATTGATCGTACTGTTTGATATGAATCATATTCAGGCGCCGTATACAAATTGAAGCGAGAAATGTTCGCATTTGTACGAATCTAAAAATAAAATATCGTTTAGAAAAAGGCTTCTGAGCTTAAGAGATTACTTAACGAACCCCAGAAAACACGAGCGGGCTTCAGTATTAGCACGTAGACAACTCATAATGTTATTTGCATTAATTAAAAATGAAACATATTTGTTCTTCGATGAATGGTGTACGATTACTAGATTGTGATCTCTTAAATAATAAAACTAGGATAATATAGATGTGTTTTTAGATTTTAAAAACTCTTGTGAAAATTCTTTCGATCAAATATAACCAAATTCTACTAAATGTAATAAAATTATAAATGAAGACTCTAGTAAATCAGAAAAGATAGTCACCGAATAGCACTTAAAGGGGAAAAAATCAATGTCGAATTATCCTAATTTATATATTAATCAACCCCATAAGGCAAGTAATAAATGACGACAAATATCCCAAATTTTGAAATTAAATACATTGGTGAAATTTTTGTAATACGAAAGTCGAACTTTCTGCGTTTTATTTTTATAATGAGTAAAAAGTGATTCTAAATATAAGTCCAAGGAAAGGAGGAATGTATAAAAAGTAAGATTTCACATTTTATACAAAATCAATTTCTTTTAATTTAAAAATCTTTGCATCATTTGAAATATCTCTGTAACTGGAAGTATATGTTTACGACCAATGATTTCGGAAATAAAGGCCGGGCGAGAATTTTTGTGGACGCAGTGTACACACACGCATATATACATATGTATGTATATACTCTATTTCTATATATATATTTGATAGATGATAGCAGGCGAGGGCACCAGTGCCAAAGAATTTGCCAGTGCTTCACCGTGGGGTCAACAAGTGCTGCCCTTCGACAACAACTTTCTGTAAGATAGCATAGATGTTTATTCAAGGCTCAGCACTTCTCCAGAGTTAATGTTTGAACAGATTTGTGAGAACGAATTCATAGTATACGTGAGGCTCTTGTTCTTATGGCGATGAGCGCTTGCGCGGAAAGTAGTTTATAAGGTATTTTGTAATTGGAAGCTAATGAGTTAATGTGCGTTTTTTGCGTGCAAAACACAAAAAAGTCCAAAAAACTGTTGATGCCACGGTATTTTCTTCAGATGAAGATAATAAATCGGCAAGATAAAAAATAGATACGATAAAATACTAATTTTAATTTTTAAAAGCCCCTTAATTCAGCTTTTTAATTTGGTTATTTCCCCTTTCTATCCTAAAAATAATAGCATTCTTTCAATAAATCTGTCTCAGCTGCGTTATTACAAATTAATCCTTGTCTTGTCATTCTTATATAATGCTCATGAGGCATTTACTTATAAAGCGAAAGAAGTCTTTTAGTCAGTAATAATATTAAAATATAAATATATAAAAAATACCAAAGTAATCATTGAGCGCCAGTTTAACTGCGCATGTCAAAAATATTTTGTCGAGTATAAAAAGTGTTTAACCGGCTAAATGAGTGCTGCTGTATCTTTATGCTCAAGCTCCTCATCAAATTTCACGTCACCACATCTAAAATGTCATTACATACGCGTATGTAAGAAAGAACCTGTATGGATTCAAACTTTTACATATATTTTAATTTTTTCACGTGCTGGATTGCTTATATTTGCTTGTTTTGTTTGGTTTTTCGCACTCGGTCTGCTATTTTTAAAATTTGTTTGTGTTTTTGACGCTATAATTTTGCAATTTTTTACAGTGCTTACTTCGGCCTGTAGGGGTTGGACTGATAAAGACGATAATTATTTTAATTGTTTTCTTGAGACTATTTTGAGTTGTAAACTTTAATTTGAATTTTTGTTAGTTCAGAAACAAGCCTATTTATTTACTTCTTTCGTTGCACCAACCCCCTGATGACGACGCAGCGACAGATGTAAATTTCTTATTTTATTATTTTGGTTAATCGCTTAGAAAAACATGATGATTGTTCATGTTTAATACTGTTATTTAATTTTATTCTTAGCAATATTGCTTCCTTTCTCAGATGATCACTTGAGGGAGGTGTTTATAGGAAAAAAAATAATAAAGGATGAAGCAGAATATACATAAGGGGTAAGTAGCACATATGGTAAGGGATATAATAAACAGTATATGGTTAAAAACGGATGAAGTGTTCTAGCTATGGTATGTGTCTGGCCAAATTAAGGAGGATGTTTCTGTGGCTGGTTTATACAAGAAACAACGGTGAAATGTCTTTAAAATGACCCATCCTCTAAAATAGTGCCTATTAATATTCTATGAAATATTAGTCACTTTCAGTGGTAGTCGTTTACGGAAATTGGTCACCATGGAGAATTTCTCTATGAAAGTAATTCTACGTTTCTAGTTTCATAATAGACGTGAATTAAATGTTTTGAATTTTGTTTTAAGAAAGTACTTTTTTAGATTAATATAAGAGCTTCAATTCAAGTAAAGTAAAACAGTACATTAAATGCGTCGTTATTTCTATCGTGTGCCTGCGCTATTTATGTTAAATTATCTAATAATATTTCGTAAAGTAGTTACTGCTCATTTTTTAAAGATGCTATTTAGCTCCTTTTTTTTTAATAAAACCATCGATTTGCTCTTTAATATCATTTTAATAAGTCCTAGTCATTTGAGGATTTTGCCTGTAACTAATTCGAAAGATCCGCAGAATTTTAGAAGAAGAATTTAATCCTGTTTTCGCATAAATTCTTAGTTCTAAAATACAATCATCCCCTTCTTCGCGACCACATATGATATATGCTAGTATATTTGAGAACATATACAAACGCTGATATTGAATATCACCTAAGACAACCCTTTTAAAGAAGATTAAATTTATTAGGAGGAGTTTATGATCGTTTGATCACTTGATAGAAGGTTCATTGCACTGTATTTCAAATGTAATTTAGCCATTCATAAAATGCAAGAAAATGTTAAGTATGTTATAATAAATGAAATGAAATCTCTCGTAGCTGCAACCTCCGTAAGATGATCTTCTCTGAAAGTGACTACTAATTCTGAGAATATAAATACATATCACTATTGAATATCAGCAATCTGATAAGAGCTTTCTGTTGAGACCAAAATCATTTGAACCAAACTTTCTAATAAAACCAAAATCATCTGGAACCATGTTTTACTAAGATCAAAATCATCTGGAACCAAAGATGTGGTCGATTTCAATGAGTCTATTGCATTTTAGATGGCATAAGCGTTTCGTATATTTTAATAACCACAGCAGAGCTTGACTATCCGAGTTAATTGGGACCATGACCATCCAGATATAAAAAAATCCAGATAAGTAGGCTGCTTGATTCTCAAGTCAAATGGGCATTTATTATAACGTATGTGTGGGAATTTTATTTTTCCTTTAACTGTTTTTACTTAACAAAGTTTATAAAATAAAACATTTTTATTTCCGTAAAAACAGCCTTCTCGTTGTTAAACTAAGCAATAAACACATACATTCAAGAGTATATGTCAACGAAATTTATTTAACAGTTCTTTAAAAATGTGTAATGTACTGAACCATCGTTTTATTTTTAATCATATTTTTTTAAAATTTTATATCTCTGAAAGAATTTTGTAGATGAAAAACAACCTCACTTTTACTTGGCTGAGAAAGGAAAACAAGTCATAAAAATAAGCATCATTCAGAATATCTGGTATCCGGATAGCTGAAATCTTGCTGCGTTCTCATTACAGTTTCCGAAAAACGACTCATGGAATTTATTTTTCCTTTTCTATAGAATTTATTTTCCGTCTTTCCTTTCCTCTTTTATTGCTAACGTATTATCTTCGACTTCCGTTTTAGAAACTGCTGTTTCTCAAGCTTTATATCAAAAATATTTCTAATAAAAAATATTTTAAGAGCTGACATAGTTTTAATAAATTCCTATAAAATTTTAAAGGTATTCCTTTATAGAAATGCTTCTCTATAAAATTTTATAGAAATTTTATAGGCTTTCACAAAAGAATTCTAAAAAATGCTTCTTAGCAAACATCAAAAATTTTAGAGAGCCTCTATAGAATGCATTCTATAAAATCAAAACTTTTCATACTGGAATCGAAGAAAATTTTCAGTATCTGATGTTCTATATAGCATATAATGTAGTAAAAATTAAACACTTTTTATTCATTAGCGCTGAATTATTAAAATTTATCTCGATCATAAACTTTTGTTAAGAGTTTAAATTTAGGTTGTTAATTATACAATTTTAATTCCTGAAATTAATCCTTTTAATTACTGTATATGTACCCCTGATAACAGAAACGATTTCTTAATTTTTGTTAAACTTAGTTATTGTTTAAAATGTATTTATTCTTTGACATAAAAAAATGTTAACATTTTTTATTACCCCCCCCACCAAAAAAAACCCCTCTTATCTGTTCCTAGAATTTTTATTCTCTCAACTTTCATGTCATAGATCATTTCAAAATTTAGGTTAAAAGATTTTGTTCAAAAGTGGAAATTTAATTCATTTTTTTTCAATTCGAAAAGAAAATATTGTTGATTTTATAATACTTTTAAAATAATAAAGTTTCTATAGAATTTTTATAGAACATTACACAAAGAATAAGTGTAAATTTTATGGCCAAATTTACTATAAAAAGGATATGATATTTTCAATAGAATTTTATCAGTTGATTTTACACATATTATATAAGATTATATCAGTGGAATCTTTTAAACCTGAGGGCTATGATGCTGAAAGATTCTGAAGAAGTTTAACGCTGAATATGTTTGCAGAATTCCTTAAGATACTTTCGTAAGGGATGATTATTTGGGGACTGGCCGTGCAATTTTATATTAAGTGCTACCTAAATTTTCCCTATTTTAGGAATTTCAAAGCAGTGAATCAAAATGCAGTGAAACCTTGCATGTTGACCGCCTTCTTCATAAGACCACTTCTGAAGGTGACTAGAGTTTTTGAGAGCATAGCTGAGTATAATTGGCAACAGAATCGTTTTTGGTGTTGAACATCACCGATAATAATATTCCCCCAGATTATCACTTCTAGGGGAAAAAAAACCCACCAAATAATTTGGAAACAGTAAGGCAATCATTTAAGTGGAGTTTCATTATAGTTAATTAAACTTAAATGTAAATTTACGACGATAACATTTATTAATACAATCAGACACTCTCAGTTACTAAAAGCTATGGAATAGTTAGATTACATACCTGCCAAGGCTGATCACCAAAATTCGCATTTTCACCTCCCACTATTTTGCTGTCCCTCATGTGGCTTCTTCCACATTCTGAAAAGGAAAAGAGTAAAGTATTATTTCAGTATCCCGTATTACTAAAGAAAGCAATTAGTTTCCGGTCTTACATCTGAAAAAAAAAAAAAAAAGATTTAATTGCTTCCTAGTGGGCGGTAACCCATTGGCGTATTTTTTAACCTCGCGAAGGAAATTGCCACGTAAACAAAAGAGTACTGGTGTTCATCAAGCCATGAAATTTTGTGCCAAAAATTTATAAAGGAATACAGTTTTAGCACAAAAGTTATACACCGAAAAATGTAGGAACCGCATGTTGAAAGCAGGTTTTGCTGCTATAATTTTACTGAAATGTGTTTGCAATGGCAATACGCGAACTTTCTCAGTCAGTGGTGTTAGAATCATTCTGGAAACGGCTTTCAAGTATATAAATGAATTAGTGTCATTGCTTTTACGGCGAAGAATGCTTGCTTGGGCTATCGTCCTCGAGTAGAGAAACGAAGAGTGGGAAAAAAGAAACATATAAAGGAACGTAGGCAAGAGGTGCCACGGTCACCCGGACACCTCTCTATATAAAATTTCTCTCTATATATAATTTAGTCAACAAAGAGCACAATTATGGTTGTATCATTAACAATAACCTACCAGTAATACACGCTATTAAAAAATTAAGCATGCACGAAATAAACTGCCACGACTTTGAAAACCTTTATACATTTTTTTTAATCTCTTAAAATAATTTTCGATAGTCTGCTACAAATTCCAAAATTATTTCCACAAGTTTACTCAATAGTTATTACTGAAAATTGGAAATCCTTCCTTCAATGCACATTATTCAATAACTTTATAAAGTTGCATAATAATATTTTTCTACCGGTCAGAGGAATTCTCATGGGCTCTAACAGTTCAACACAAATTTGTAATTTAGTTCTGTTTACACAAGACTTTAAATTTCAGCCCACAATTAAAACTATTTGCAAATACGTACGTTTACATAGATGTTATTAATACTTTCAATAATAATAAAGCAATAGAAAGGCTCAAAATCTATCCTAGCATTCTTAAACTCAATCTTACTAATACTAATCAACATGTTATAAACTATTTTGATTTGCAAATTATTAATCCTAACACCATAAAATTTTTGACAAAAGAAGAAATTTTAAATTCAATACTATTAAGTTAACCAATTGGAACTCCAGTATTTCCAAAAAGTAATAAAAATACTTTTATCAGTCAAATTAAAAGAATAAGGAATATTTGTACAGAAATTCAAGACATTAAAAGTGAAATCTCCTTACTAATTAGAACACGAAAGGATAACCATGTACCTACTCAATTTATTAATTTTATCTCAAAAAAGGCAAGCATTAATTTTAAATTTTAATCTTTCGGTAAAAGAGAAATGAGGGTTATATCCGAAACCTTTAACAAGGAAGATAAAGTTGGATGTCTTGTAGATGGAAGATTTGTACAAATGTAAAATAGTACGTGTAATATTCTTTTTCTGGCTTCTAAGCTTTTACTAACTTTGTGCCAATACCTTTTCTTAAGTCTCAATTACAGCTCGTTTTACTTGAAGATTTTTATCTTTTTCTCTGTTTCATGACTTTTAGCCAGAAATTTTTAAAATTAATTTACTTACTTATTCGATTTAATAGCTAGTCGCACTTTCTAGGCATCCCATAACTACCATTTTCACCAGCCTAATATTTGCTGTTCTCATAAATCTGGCAAACACCTGTCTTTGGATAAAAGGAAAATCCCCGTTCATTGTTGTTACTAGAACGATGTAAGTTTTTTGACTTTAAAATTCTTCTGCCCTAATTCAATTTTTAAATATGACAATTTTATTTTATTGAATATTTTGGTAATATAACGTGCACTCCTTTTGCTTGCATTTGCATTATAATGCTTTATTTATACATTTTTATACCTTTGATCGCATTATTGATTCGATACTTGAGTTTTGTTCAAACGATCTTTTTAGCATTTAAAAGGTTATTCATTTTATAAAATGTCCCAAATTATTTTTAACTTGATTTACATCGTGTAGGGAAATTCTTCATATCCATATGAGTTTGCAAAATTTGGAGAATTAAATATTTATGTTTAATATCACTTCTACTTTCAATTTGCATATGCATAGCAACGATGTAACATGATGTCTGAACGGTTGAAAGGAATGTGAAATAAGCTAATTCCCCGTGCAGAGTCAGTACTGTTTCGCCATTTTTCGAATGTTCATTTTTAGGTAATTTTCTTTATATGGATAAAATTATTATTAGCAATTTTTGCATGATAGTTTTATGCATATTCTACTTCTACACTATTCTACTACCATTGCCTGCAAAGCAATTTTTCTATCTGCCGCTTTTCCTTTTTCTATTTCAAGTACTTAAAGAAAAAAATTCTAAAACTTTTTTAACTTTAAATTTCTTTTCAAAAACTTTCAATTTTTCTTTTAAACATTACTTGAAAATTATGACTTTGTAAATTGGAATTTATGTAGACTTCAAATTTGTAATGCTTAGTTTTCTTTATTAGCTTTCTTAATTTTACTTTGAAATATAGTAATTATAATAAGATTTTTCCCATTTCATTCTTATAATTAGCATCCCTCCCCCTTAGGCAGATAGCCCTAGTGTGCTTTGCCATAATTAAATACACCACCATTCTTATGATTATGGTTAATTAAATCATTGCAGCCTAAGCTCATGATTCTTAATAGTTTTTCCTTACATTTGTTTATGTTGTTTTTATATATTTATATAGATGTAATAAACATATAAATCATATGGTAAAAATGGACCTTCAAAGCTAAAAGCTAAAAATTTCAAAGCTCAAGCTAAAAGCTTCAAAGCTTTTAGCCTAAAGACCTTCAAAGCTAAAAAACAACCTTAAAGTTTGACCTGCAAAGCTAATAAAAGGACCATCATCAAGGCTTAGCCAACACAGCTAAAATTATAAATTTAAATTTAATTATTAATATAGATTTCCCTTTGAAAATGAAAAATAAAAACTATTATAATTATGAAACTTATTAAAAGAATCTTCCAGGAAAATGAACTTAAGCTATAGAAATTATAAGACTTAAAAGTCAAGTACTTAAATTTTAAATATATAAAGGCAAAATAAAACAAAGTTAATTTCTGTTGATGCCATGGAAAAAGGTACCAATCATGGTATTAACCAGATTTCCAGCATATCTAGCAATGAGTCCCTGATCGCAGTTTCTTGTCCGAAGAAAAATAGGCCGTGCTCTTTCTCGCGGGACGCAGCATAGAAAACGTGCACGAAACTCACGTTGCACTGAAACCACAGATTTGAATACCTCAAAACGGAGCACATAAAAAGCCTTTTCTTGCTGCGGCGCCATCTTAGAAACGGACGCTGTGGCTGCGCAGTAAGTATGACAAGCAAACACAGGTAGCACATGAGAAACTTGGACAGCTGTAAATATTTACGATGCAGGTTTTACACGGGTAAGGTGCATCAATTCATTGTTCATTTTTAAAACCGCACCGTTCATTTATAAACACCCTGTATTTTTAAGCACCCCAAAGAATTTCTTCGACGCGATCCGAATTCAAGTAAAAAAAAAAAAAAAAAAAAAAAAAAAAAAAAAAAAGGAATACTGGGCAAAACATTGATAAGTACTATTTGAAAAACTACTTCCATTATAACATTAGAACTCAAAAAATACGTAAAATTAGTTTACTATAGACTACTGACAACAAATGTAAGTACAATTTGATTTTTGATCCTACATGATAATTACATTTTTAATGGTCTATTAATTAGTAGACCTTAATCATAAAACCCTCTGTTTCCTCCTCACTATCTTGAAAATTTAGTATTTGGAAATTTAATTTGATTAGTTACCTCTTAAAAGAATGTATAGAAGTGAATAAGTAATCACATTTGGCATAAGCTCTGATTAGTTATTTTTTTTTTTTTTTTTTTTGTTGCGTTAAATCTTTCAGTTTAAATTATACTAATAAGAATAACGCAAATACAATACTTTGTTTTTCGATTAAGCAAACAATATAAATTTCAATTACTTTAGCAGCCCGAATTTTATTTTACAATCAAATTTTTAAAATGTTTATCTTTCTCTTCTTTACCTTCTGATCAATTTTTTAAAATTAGTGTAATTTTTTGAAACCTTGAAAATTATTCAAACATCTATCTTCAGGCCAACAGTTTTTAAGTTTTTTCCACAAACTTCAGATTCTTTGTTTTGCTTACACCTGATCTCTCAAAAGACTTGCTTACACCAATCTCTTAAAAGATCCTACAGAAAAGATTTATAAAGTTAATACTTTAGCTAGGTTTATGTGTGTTTCGTTTTAGCATTTTATACGGAACATTATTCTTGAATAAAGACAGATTTGAGTTCATAGTTTAATTGTACTAAAAGCAAGAAATTATTTGCTTGTATATTCTGCCGTAACATTTAGGTGCATAGTAAAAATAATTTTTCTTTTTTTGCATGGTTTCTTGTCTTAAAAGACAGACATAGAGTTCTTGAAATAAAAGAGAACTGGGAATGCCTTAATTCTTATATATATTATTATAATTGGTGCGCACTAATTAAGTTTAAGATGCTATCAGAAAGAAATTGTCAATGTAACTGAAAGCTCGGAAAAAAAATTCACAGAACATTTATACCTGAATTCGTATTAAATATCAGCATAATAACTTTCTACTAAAGTAGTCTTTCACAAATCATAGATAACTTCTGAACTACGTTAGCAAATAACAAATATAATGAAACACACCAACTTTAAAATAATTCAAATTTTCTCTTAGCGTGGCATTTATTTTAAAGAATTTTCCCTCACGTTTCGAAAGAATCTGACAAAGATCTCTCCTCTTTTTGTCATTTTATCTATTTTTTTTTCAAACTTCATATTAAACCTTTGTTCGCACATAAAATTTAGCCAAATACAGCTGCAATTTACGATTAATTTTGAACATATTATGCATACAGATGAGACTCGGATCTCTTTTCTTCAGTTTTTCCTTAGAAAGTC